TAGTCTTCCTGTGGCCTAGGCTACTAAGCCTAGGCCCGACTACTTAGTATATTTGACAAGCAAAAGCTCTCGTTGCTGTGCTGGAGAATCTCACGAATGGTGGTGGGTATGACTATTGTTCATTTCTCCGTGGCGATCGGCCAGCGGCGATTTGCAAACTTGGACCCGCGTTGCCGTACGATCAACCATGAGGCTTGGTGTTCAAATCGCACGGCCTACGACCAGAACGAGCTGATTCGACAAAATTAGACGGTTGAGATGCGTGCTCTGCGAGTCGACTTGGAAAGCATGTACGGATGCAGCTGACATGGCGTGGGCGTGAAAAGAACGCCATGGGGTTTCGTCATCAGAAGCCGCGCCTTGCTGGTCTGGTCTCCTATCTGTACTGTACTGTGACTGAGTGACTGAGTCTGACTGTGAGAGGGCCATTCAAGTCGTATGACGTGTTCTACTCTCGAGGGGCGACCTATCATCCATCCATCCCCAGCTTGGAGTATTTCGCCATAATAATACGTTACAGAGTAGTGTAGGATTTCCCTACCATCTTTTACACAGACAAATTATTGTTGTATGGCTGTTGTCAATTTCTTGTTCTATAGCCAGCTTGGTTCAGGTTGTTGTAGCAACAGTGGTATGAGAATAGAATATTGTAACCCGGCTTCCATACTACGCGCATACCTAAACAATGCGGCGATGATAACACCTTGGCAAACAATCGATTGTGGCACCAGTAGCTATGCAAGCAAACCATTGAATCCTTACTTTACTGCATCACTCCTCAGAACCACTCTGCACCCCTTTGAGATTTGCTCGCTTCTCGTCTTTATCTCCTTCATCAGCACATGCGCCTGCCCTGGATAAAACCTCCCCCTCACATCCTCCTCCTTTTGCCCTTGTGTCAAGGCTTCCTTGGCAGGCACCAAATGCACCCACCAGAACTCCTCTAATGCCGTGAACAGTAATTCCCAGTACTTCTTGTCTCTTTCCACCCTGAACAGTGCACTGCCACCCATTTTTGTCCACACGAAAAAATCCAGCCAATCGCGGTCGAATATTTCAAGCAGGCCTTGAATCTGCGGCATGTAGTAGACCGGTACGGAGGGGTACGGAGCGGCGGAGAGCGGTAAACCGCGGTTCCAGGGGCACTTGATTTCGAGAACACCAGGCGAGTGGGGGGAGGAGTGAAGGGAGAGAGAGTCGGAGGGGAGGAGTCCGTCGGGGGAAGCACCGAGCCAAGAGAAGGCCGGATCTCCGTGCTTGTAGATCTGGAAGGGCATGGGAGAAGGAGATCAGATGGGAGAGATGCAAGGAGTGCAGGGAGAGAGGGTCGGAGGGGAGGAGTCCGTCGGGGGAAACACCGAGCCAAGAGTGTCTCCGTGCTTGTAGATTGAGAGAGAGGTTAGGGAAAGAGGGGCGGGCATAGGGGCAGACTTGAGGAAGAGAAGCTGCCAGTTAAGAGAAAGAGGGGCGGGAAAGAGGGCGGATCAGCGTGCTTGTAAAACTGGAAGGGCATGAAAGCCGGAGGTCAGACGGTAGGGAGGGCGGAAATGAAGGCGAAGAGGATTGGATGGGAAAAAAGTTTCGCTTTGAAAAACATGGGAGTTCGCATTGTCCCACAGCACATTGCCCCACAGCACATTGCCCCACACACACCACATTGCCCCACAGCACATTGCCCCACACACACCACATTGCCCCACAGCACATTGCCCCACAGCACATTGCCTCACACACACCACATTGCCCCACACACACCACATTGCCCCACACACCACATTGCCCCACACACCACATTGCCCCACACACCACACATTGCCCCACACACCACACATTGCCCCACACACCACACATTGCCCCACACACCACACATTGCCTCACACACACCACATTGCCTCACACACACCACATTGCCTCACACACAGCACATTGCCTCACACACACCACATTGCCTCACACAAACCGCTTAGCCTCACACACCGCATTGCCTCACATACACACCGCTTAGCCTCACACACACTGCATTGCAACACCTGGAATTAAAGAAATTAAAGAGGCCTCTCAGCTCCTCTCAACCCCACCTGGAATGCCCTATGCTCCACATGCCCGCCTGTCAGCCGTTCATACTCCCTCAGAGCCTCCTCCTCCCTCCCCCCCCCACATGTTCAACGTTACTGCCTTGCCTACAACTGCCTTACCCCATCCTCATCCCCACCTGGAACGCCCTGTGCTCCACGTAGCCGCCTGTCATCCGCGCATACTCCCGCAGAGCCTCCTCCTCCTTCCCCTGCCCCCATGCTGTCGCATCATTCCCGGCAAACGGCGCTCTCAGCCCCAGCTTCTCCTCCCACAGCTGCTGCCGCCCCCCCGGAAAGAACCCCACTGCCTTCTCAAACGCGCTGGCTGTCAGCCGGTTGGCTCTGAGTGCGTACCACTCGTCTGTGCGCTGCTCCTCGCCGCCCTTGTCCAGATTCAATGCATCCTGCTGTCCTGTTATCAGTGTTGCTGTGTTTCCCGTTGGTGGTATGATCAGCGCTGGTTGTTCAGGACGAAGCAGCCCTAAATTTCTGAAAGGAGAGACTTCTGGAGTACTATCTCTCCCTAGACGCGTTTCTGCTGCCTCGAACACTCTCCCATTGACTGACGCTGATGCTGGTGGTGCTGCTTTTTGCCACGCTAACTGCGGTGGTGCAGGGGGCGATTTGAGCGTCGGTGGCGGTATTTGGCTGCGAATGATCGCCAGCTGCCGCTGCACATACTGCCAGCGCTCTGTGTGGTGGGGAAAGTCAGGAGAAACAAGGAGCGACGGAAGGAGAATCACCAAGTGGATGGGAGACCAAGGGTGGGACAAGGTAAGGCAGTGGTGGGGGTATTTGGCTGGGAATGATCGCCAGCAGCTGCCGCTGCACGTACTGCAAGGGCTCTGCATAGGGTGAAGGAAGGAGAATCACCAAGTGGTTTGCAGGGAAAGAAAGGGGCAAGGGGGTGCTATGGATGATCACCACTTGCAGCAGCTACAGAACGTACTCTCAACGCTCGGTGATGCGGAGAAGAATGAAGGAAGAGCACCACGCGCACGCGCGAAACGATAGGGGAAGAGAAGGAAGAGAAGGCATCCAGATAACAAGTAGCCACGTAAGGGGATGTGGAGGAAGAAAGGAACGCATGCACCAGCAGGAATAGCACAAGCGCAGCAGTCAATGGTGAGACCCGAACGCCGTGAGGGTGGGAGGAATGCAAGGGCTACTTTACCTGTTGGGATGACGATGTTCCCTCGGCCCCTGTTAACCACCACCCCTTGCATCCCTCCCGTTCTTTCACGGGCCTCCCTTCTTCCAGCCTCCATCCGTCCAGCCTCGGTACCGTCCCTCTCAGCTTCTCTCCTCTCATCAGCCCTTACCCCGAACCCCTCTCCCTGCATCCCCTCCCCCTGCCTCTCCTCCCGCTGGCTCTCGGCCCCCGGCTTTTCCTCTTCCTGCGAGTCCTCCTCTGGCGCAGCTGCAGCCGCGCGACTCCACACTCCCCGTTCAAACCTCGTCATACCCGCTACAAGCACTCCCGCTGCTTTAAAACGGACGGCGGCGGGCGGCGAGGGGAGAGACGGCGGGGCGCGGCGGGGGACGGAAAAGGCTCTGCGAAACGACTCTGGGTTTGCGGCGACATCTGGAATGTGCGGGTTACCAGCGCGCGGAAGGCCAGGGGTTACGTTTCGACTACCACTACGGGGATCATGCTCTGTAGCTCCACTTTGGTCGGTAGTGCTGCTGCGGACCTTGTCTCGACCCCAGGGATCTTCCCGCCGGGCCACATGCGCGGATCGCCCACTCCCGTTTCGCCGCGTGTCACGGGAAACATTGCTGGCGCCGGCCGTCACCGTTCCGGTCCATTCCCGTCTGCCGGCGGCCAGCAGAACGGCGAGACGCGGTCTCATAATACCGAAAGGACCGACGTCGAATCTCGAACGTATCTGATGCGGTCTTATCTGTTGGCGTATCGAATCAAATCGTAGTCGTGCGCGGGCTTGCAACGTGGAACTGCAACCGGGTGGGTAGATCTGCCTGTTGAGCAACAAAGCTCGGCGCGCTTCTAGCGAAGCTCGGCTGGTGACGGACGAACCTTTGAGCAGCTGCTCTGTTAACCCAGTCATCTCATTGGCTAGGCGGTCCAAGAAGTTACCGAGAGAGCGTCAGCAGGCAGAGAGCTCGCTACAGAAGACGAACACACATGGTCATCAGGAATAGTGCGTTGGGTTGGGAACCCTACGATTCGCCAACTTCCATGTCCTCTGCAAAATGCTTGAGATGGGGGAAGGAGTTTCAAAAATGGCGGGAAAACATGAGAGTCGTTTTGGGTGTTTGAACGAAAATCTCTGTTACAGGGCTCCTCGTCGAACAGTAGAAACATTCCACACTTGATTCGGTCTTGATAACTCCAGAGCTTACAAATACTGGACTGGTCCCAGCAAATCCTTTTCGAACGCGACAAATTGCACTCAACCGCACTGAAGTACACGATTTTGCATGCGATGTGGCTGGCTTGGTTTCTCCGACAGAGAGGCGAAGCTGAAACTTCTCCGTCACGCCACGGCCTCTCCGTTTCTTCTGCAGGTCACCGTCTGCTGTCAGTTGAGTTCCCTTTCAGGCGTTTTCGCTTGCTGTCACTTAGGATCAATCTGGGTAAACGCAAACTCGCCGATTTCAGGCATTCTTTTCCAGTCTCATAGGAGATTCGCGTCGTGAAATCCGCATCGTGAGCGAGTAAAGTAAGTTCGCGAAGTTCTGTCGCGAACTTCGAGATTCTGGGGCAGGAATTTGACCTTTCGGTGAAGCTTTTCGGTGCAGGCTTTCGGTGACCGACAACAGATCACCAAATGCTAGTAGCATCTGCCGGTGCCCACTGCCTGCTTCCGCCTGCGTGCCTGCGCCTCCGTTTTCCCGCTTCCTCCCAAACCACCCACTGCGATCCACTCGTGCACGCAAAGCTCCGCACCTTTTAGCACCGCAATGGACCTGCGAGAAACGGTTTCACTGCCCCTGCCTCCGTCGCTCCGCTCGCGCCTCCTCGCCGCCGGCTTTCTCACTGTCGCGGATTTCCACACGCTCAAACCGGAGGACCTCGCTCGCGGTGAGTGTACGAGTACGAGAGAGGTCATTCCGGCTTATGCGTGTACAAGTCTTTCCGGGAATTGCATTGCAATGCCGAGTGGTCATTCTCGGGAGTGTTTGCCACACGCAGGGACGACCTCGCGCTTGGCGAGCGTATGGGTGTGAGAGAGTGAGTAAGAGAGGTTATTCGGCTTGAACGTGTGAAAGCCTGTTGAAATGCATCTTGTCTTCGTTCTCTCACTGCCGGCTTTCTCACAGTCGGGGAGCAAGTGCGTGCAAGTGCCTCCAAGTGCATGAAGTCGTTTCGATGCCCCCACCAGACCCGTCCCCCTTCCACCCTCCGATGCTTCCATCTCCAGATGCGTCTCTGTCCCTGAAAGACGCAAGGCATGTGCTGGGGGTGGCAGCAAGCGCATGCATGTCTCAGCTTGTTTACCACTCATGTGCTGTCATTGAACCTCCCCTTTGTCCACCTCCTCCCCTCCCTTGTATTCCAGATGCGTCTCTGTCCCTGGAGGATGCGAAGCATGTGCTGGGGGTGGCAGCGGGGAGCATTCAGACGAGCATCATTCCCACTGCTGCTGGCATTGCAGGTATGTGCGTCTGTGGGTGTGTGTGGGTGGGTGGGTGGGTGGGTGGGTGGGGAGGGGAGGGGGTGGGGGGGAGGAGGAGGGGGGAGGGGTGGGGTGTGGTGTGTGTGTGTGTGTGTATGTGTGTGGGTGTGTGTGTGTGTGTGTGTGTGTGCGCGCGCGTGGGGTGCGTGTGTGTGTGTGTATGTGTGTGGGTGTGGGTGTGTGTGTGTGTGTGTGTGCGCGCGTGCGCACGCGCGCTCGTGTGGGTGGGTGGGTGGGTGGGCGGGCGGGCGGGCGGGCGGCCGGGCGGGCGGGCGGGCGGGCGGCCGGGCGGAAGGGCGGGCGGGCGGGCGGGCGGGCGGGTGGGTGGGTGGGTGGGTGGGTGGGTGCTTCTTGTGCCAGGTCTGTGTCTGTGCACCCACGGTGTGCTGAATTGCAGTTCAGTTCCCGCCTATGGACTCTGATGGAGGTCCCACCACACCACACCACACCACACCATTTCTTGCTATCGCATAACACCTCACGCGCTGTGTCATTCCACTGTCCACATGCCTCTGTGCCCGGGGCAGGGATTTTCGTCCCGCAAATGCCACCTCAGACTAGCTGAAGCAATGAGCAAACTTCCAGATCAGAACAATCCGCCCCCAACAGCTCCTCTGTTTCCCGTTCATTGCCGCCCATTCCCGTCCAGTCTCATCCATCCCTTTCCAATTTCTGTGCAGCGGCTCGATTTCCATGGGAGTTTTGAGGCGCTTCAAAATACCTCCGGATTAGAACAACCTGCCCCCAACAGTTCCGCTGTTTTCCTGCAATTCCCGTCCATCCTCATCCATCCTTTTCCAGTTTCCGTGCAGGGGCTGGATCAGTGCGGGAGCTTCTAGAGGCGGAGAGGGGCAGGGGCAGGGTGCAGACGATGTGTGCTGAATGAATGAGGCACTGAGTGCATGTGCATCTCTCCCTTTCCATCTGCATCTGTATTGCATGCGTGCAGAAGCCCGATCCGCGTGGGAGCTTTTAGAGGCGGAGAGGGGCAGAGGGAGGGTGCAGACGAGACGATGTGTGCTGAAGTACTGACCGCAAGTGCATCCCGTCCCGTTCATCCATTTGTGTTCAGGAGCCCGATCCGCGTGGGAGCTGCTAGAAGCAGAGAGGGGCAGAGGGAGGGTGCAGACCATGTGTGCCGAAGGGCCTTAAATGGAGCACTGTACGCACGTATGTGCCTGTATTGTATCCATGCAGGAGCGCGATCGGCATGGGAGCTATTAGAGGCGGAGAGGGGCAGGGGCAGGGTGCAGACGATGTGTGCTGAGCTGGATGCGATGCTGGGTGGGGGAGTGGCTCTGCAGGAGCTCACCGAGATATGTGAGTGGAGTATGGTGCAGTGGTGTGTGGTTTAGTTCAGTGGTGTGCAGTGCGGTGATGTGCGATGCATGCAGTTGTATGGAGTATGTGTGGAGAAGGAGGAAGAGTGGGTGCACTGCGATGCTGGGAGGGGGGGTGGCTCTGCAGGAACTCACAGAGATTTGTGAGTGGGGTGCGGTGAGGTGCTGTGAGGCGTCGTAGTGTGCACTGTGGTGGTGTGATCTGTGATCTCTTTTTTTACTTTCCAGCAACATGATTGTAGGGGTTTTAAAACAAATTGTAAAGGTCACTGAGAGGTCATGTGTTGATCAGTTCCCCTCGTGCCGTTTCTCCTCGTCTCTTCTGTCCAGGTGGGCCGCCAGGAGTTGGCAAGACACAGCTGGGGTAAGGCTGGGTTGGGATGGGTTGGGATGGGATGGGATGGGATGGGATGGGATGGGATGGGATGGGATGGGATGGGATGGGATGGGATGGGATGGGATGGGATGGGATGGGATGGGATGAGATGAGGCTGATTTGGTGTTTGCGCTGTGGTTCTGGTGCTGGTGTTGTGTCTCCCTGGCAGCAAGGTGACTTGGAGTTGACGAAAGAATTCGCCCGTGTTGGTCCTGGCTCTGATATTTCTCTTGCTGTGTTGCTGCTTGTGTTGTGTCTCCCTGACAGCATGCAGCTGGCTATTAACGTGCAGACGCCTGCTGTGCTGGGAGGGGTGGAAGGCGAAGCAGTGTACGTTGGTGAGTGAGACGCGCCCTCCCTCTCCTCTCCCCTCACCATCTCACTCAATCTGCATGCGATCTCAGTCAAATCTGCAAGCATTCTCAATGTAATTCACATGCAATCTTCGTCGGGTCTGCTTACAACTCACGCAACGCTTCAAGATGCCCACCAGACACCGAAGGGAGCTTCATGGTGGAGCGAGCAGCAGAGGTGGCCGATGCATATATGGCTGTTGCGCCTTGCAGCTGCCTCTGCCCCACACTCCACTGCTGCTACTATCTGCCCTGCATGCAGATTAAACCCCCTCTCACACCTTGAACGTTCTCATCCTCCCTCTTGCCCACCAGACACAGAAGGGAGCTTTATGGTGGAGCGGGCAGCAGAGGTGGCCGACGCAAGGGCGGCTCACTGCACTGCCATGCTGCTGTCTCTGCCCTGTGCACTCCACAGCACACTGAAATCCCCACTCTACGCCCCTCCCTATTCTCCAGACACAGAGGGGAGCTTTATGGTGGAACGGGCAGCAGAGATGGCTGACGCATGGGCTGCTCACTGCACTGCTGCTGCCACTGCCATAGATGCACCTACCCCAGATACCACCGCCCCCAGTCAAGCCTCCATCCACCACCAGCAATTTCAACCCCACCAGCAGCACTCACAGCAGCAGTTTCAACAACAACACCAACAGTCACATAACCGGTCTCAGCAGCAGCAACACATGTTTCCGAATGCACCGGGGGCAGTGTCAGCAGCGGTGGCATCAAAGGCGTCTAGAGCAGCAGCGCTGGCAGGGGTGCATTACTTGCGAGTGTATGACCACACGGAGCAGACTGCTCTCGTGCACTCGCTGCCGCACCTGCTCGCTCTGCACCCCAAGGTGCGTGCTGGGATGGCATGTGTGTATCAGCAGTAGCAGTGGCAGGAGCGCGTGGGTGGCATCGAGAGCAGCAGCGCTGGCAGGGGTGCATTACCTGCGCGTTTATGATCACACGGAGCAGACTGCCCTCGTGCACTCCCTGCCCCATCTTCTGGCTTTGCACCCCAAGGTGGGATGGGTGGTGCTGGGTATAAGTGGTATGAGTAGTATCAGCAGCAGCGCTGGCAGGGGTGCATTACCTGCGAGTGTATGATCACACGGAGCAGACTGCCCTCGTGCACTCCCTGCCCCATCTTCTGGCTTTGCACCCCAAGGTGGGATGGGTGGTGCTGGGTATAAGTGGTATGAGTAGTATCAGCAGCAGCGCTGGCAGGGGTGCATTACCTGCGAGTGTATGATCACACGGAGCAGACTGCCCTCGTGCACTCGCTCCCTCTCCTTCTCGCTCTCCACCCCAAGGTGCGTGGTGGTTTGGTTGGCAGTCTTGTTGATGGCGTGGCATGCGTACCAGCAGCAGCAGTATGCGTGGGTGGCGCTGCGAGTGTATGATCACACAGAATAGACTGCTCTCGCTGCCTCACCTGCTCGCCCTGCACCCCAAGGTGCATGCTGTGCTGGCATGGGTATCACAGGGCAGGAGTGCTGTGTGCCGGTGGCATGTTCATTAGCAACAGCGAGGAGGGGTTTGCTGCCTGAGAGTCAGATGCCTTACCTGTATGGTCTTCACCCAAGTGCATGGGTGTTTGGTCTAGTGGCATGATTCTCGCTTAGGGTGCGAGAGGTCCCGAGTTCAATTCTCGGAACACCCCATTTTATACAGGGGCACTTTCTTAACCATGCTACCTTTCGTTCTCCATCATGATCATCATGGGTCCATTTCGTTGTTTTGAACGCACAATGTGCGTCGCACATCACTACCTAAGTTGATGGAAGTAAGGCCTTTGCAGCCCACCTGTCTATTCTTGACGAGTCCTGCACACAGGCTTGACACGGCAGGTCAAGCTGGTGGTCATCGACAGTGCCACCTTCTGCTTCTGCCACGGATTCACATACATGGGCCTGCGCTCACATGTTCTCATTTACCCTGCTCCCTTCCCTGCTACTTTCCCTGTTCCTTTCCCATCCACTCCACATAACCCATACTACAGGTGAAGCTAGTGGTGATCGACAGTGTCACATTCCATTTCCGCCATGGCTTCACAGACATGGGTCTGCGCTCGCGCCTGCTGGCCTCCATGGCGAGAGAGCTGCTCGCGATCGCTAACGAGCACAACGTGGCTGTGAGTGTTTGCAATGCATGTGTGGAGGGTTTAGGGTGCTGAATTGACTTACCTCCGCGCCTGCTGGCCTCCATGGCAAGAGAGCTTCTCGCGATCGCTAACGAGCACAACGTGGCTGTGAGTGTGGCTCGGTACTCCTCTCCTTTCACGCTGCATGTGCGAATGTTCTCCTTGCATGAACGGCTCCACCATGCCAGCCTCTTTCCCTCTCTGCCTGCTTGCTGGCCTCCATGGCAAGAGAGCTGCTTGCAATCGCTGACAACCACAATGTGGCTGTGAGTGTGGCTCAGTGCATGCATGAGTGCTCTCCTTGCATGACTTGTGCCACCGTGCTAGCCTCTTTGCCTCCACCCTCCTCACCTTTGCGCCTGCTGGCCTTCATGGCAAGGGAGCTGCTCGCCATTGCCGACAAGCACAACGTGGCTTTGAGTGTTGCTCATCGCATGCATGCATGTGTCCTCTCCTTGTTGCATGCATGCATGTGTCCTCTCCTTGTTGCATGCATGCATGTGTCCTCTCCTTGTTGCATGCATGCATGTGTCCTCTCCTTGTTGCATGCATGCATGTGTCCTCTCCTTGTTGCATGCATGCATGTGTCCTCTCCTTGTTGCATGCATGCATGTGTCCTCTCCTTGTTGCATGCATGCATGTGTCCTCTCCTTGTTGCATGCATGCATGTGTCCTCTCCTTGTTGCATGCATGCATGTGTCCTCTCCTTGTTGCATGCATGCATGTGTCCTCTCCTTGTTGCATGCATGCATGTGTCCTCTCCTTGTTGCATGCATGCATGTGTCCTCTCCTTGTTGCATGCATGCATGTGTCCTCTCCTTGTTGCATGCATGCATGTGTCCTCTCCTTGTTGCATGCATGCATGTGTCCTCTCCTTGTTGCATGCATGCATGTGTCCTCTCCTTGTTGCATGCATGCATGTGTCCTCTCCTTGTTGCATGCATGCATGTGTCCTCTCCTTGTTGCATGCATGCATGTGTCCTCTCCTTGTTGCATGCATGCATGTGTCCTCTCCTTGTTGCATGCATGCATGTGTCCTCTCCTTGTTGCATGCATGCATGTGTCCTCTCCTTGTTGCATGCATGCATGTGTCCTCTCCTTGTTGCATGCATGCATGTGTCCTCTCCTTGTTGCATGCATGCATGTGTCCTCTCCTTGTTGCATGCATGCATGTGTCCTCTCCTTGTTGCATGCATGCATGTGTCCTCTCCTTGTTGCATGCATGCATGTGTCCTCTCCTTGTTGCATGCATGCATGTGTCCTCTCCTTGTTGCATGCATGCATGTGTCCTCTCCTTGTTGCATGCATGCATGTGTCCTCTCCTTGTTGCATGCATGCATGTGTCCTCTCCTTGTTGCATGCATGCATGTGTCCTCTCCTTGTTGCATGCATGCATGTGTCCTCTCCTTGTTGCATGCATGCATGTGTCCTCTCCTTGTTGCATGCATGCATGTGTCCTCTCCTTGTTGCATGCATGCATGTGTCCTCTCCTTGTTGCATGCATGCATGTGTCCTCTCCTTGTTGCATGCATGCATGTGTCCTCTCCTTGTTGCATGCATGCATGTGTCCTCTCCTTGTTGCATGCATGCATGTGTCCTCTCCTTGTTGCATGCATGCATGTGTCCTCTCCTTGTTGCATGCATGCATGTGTCCTCTCCTTGTTGCATGCATGCATGTGTCCTCTCCTTGTTGCATGCATGCATGTGTCCTCTCCTTGTTGCATGCATGCATGTGTCCTCTCCTTGTTGCATGCATGCATGTGTCCTCTCCTTGTTGCATGCATGCATGTGTCCTCTCCTTGTTGCATGCATGCATGTGTCCTCTCCTTGTTGCATGCATGCATGTGTCCTCTCCTTGTTGCATGCATGCATGTGTCCTCTCCTTGTTGCATGCATGCATGTGTCCTCTCCTTGTTGCATGCATGCATGTGTCCTCTCCTTGTTGCATGCATGCATGTGTCCTCTCCTTGTTGCATGCATGCATGTGTCCTCTCCTTGTTGCATGCATGCATGTGTCCTCTCCTTGTTGCATGCATGCATGTGTCCTCTCCTTGTTGCATGCATGCATGTGTCCTCTCCTTGTTGCATGCATGCATGTGTCCTCTCCTTGTTGCATGCATGCATGTGTCCTCTCCTTGTTGCATGCATGCATGTGTCCTCTCCTTGTTGCATGCATGCATGTGTCCTCTCCTTGTTGCATGCATGCATGTGTCCTCTCCTTGTTGCATGCATGCATGTGTCCTCTCCTTGTTGCATGCATGCATGTGTCCTCTCCTTGTTGCATGCATGCATGTGTCCTCTCCTTGTTGCATGCATGCATGTGTCCTCTCCTTGTTGCATGCATGCATGTGTCCTCTCCTTGTTGCATGCATGCATGTGTCCTCTCCTTGTTGCATGCATGCATGTGTCCTCTCCTTGTTGCATGCATGCATGTGTCCTCTCCTTGTTGCATGCATGCATGTGTCCTCTCCTTGTTGCATGCATGCATGTGTCCTCTCCTTGTTGCATGCATGCATGTGTCCTCTCCTTGTTGCATGCATGCATGTGTCCTCTCCTTGTTGCATGCATGCATGTGTCCTCTCCTTGTTGCATGCATGCATGTGTCCTCTCCTTGTTGCATGCATGCATGTGTCCTCTCCTTGTTGCATGCATGCATGTGTCCTCTCCTTGTTGCATGCATGCATGTGTCCTCTCCTTGTTGCATGACCTGTGCGTGTGCTGCATTGACTTAACTCCGCGCCTGCTGGCCTCCATGGCAAGAGAGCTTCTCACCATTGGAGATGACCACAACGTTCCAATTATATGTTTCCTCGAGACAATGACCTCATAGTGGTTTCATGCGCTGTGTCCACATGTCATGTGCATGGGGCATGGGGCATGGGACATTCAATCCATTGATGTGCAGGTGGTGTTGGTGAATCAAGTCACAACCAAGGTGGAGGGCGAGGTGTCCCGGCTTGTTCCTGCTCTTGGTGTGTGTGCATCCCTATTCACTTTGCTTCACATTAGGTGCTTTGCGTTTCGCAAAACCATCTGCCACCATGCGCAGTTGCCGCTGTCCATCTGCCGCCATGCATCATGATCCGCATCCCCCCAATCCGCCCTTCAATCAGGGCAGAACTGTGCACACGCGTGTACCAATCACATCCTACTCTTTCGAGCGGATTGGCAGCAGCTCATACATTTAATGAGAACGAAGTGCATGTGCTACCCTCTTATTCCCCCTTTCCTTTCCCCACAAATCTCCCGCCCTCCGCATTCCAATCAGGCGAGAGCTGGGCGCACGCGTGCACCAATCGCGTGATCCTCTTTTGGAGCGGGGGACAGCGATTCGCTCACCTCTTCAAGTCACCCTACCTGCGGGCGGGCACCGCCCCCTTTACAGTCACATCTGAGGGCGTCAGGTCACTGCAAGATGCACACAAGAGGCAGCGAGTGGAAGGGAGTGAAAGGGGTCTGTTGTTGCAAGGTCTGGGTGGTCACTAGTAGGGTGCTGCCAAACAAGCTGTTACCTTCAGGCCACGTCAGGCCACCACTGCAGCCATTTACAGTCACATGTGAGGGCATCAGGTCACTGCAAGACGCACACGTGAGGCAGCGAGTGGAAGGGAGGGCAGGGAGATGAGCTTAGGCTGGTCCGTGTGTTCGCCAGTATGCCGTTGCCCAACAAGCTTTGAGTCGAATAATAATATCCGGGTGTCGTTGGCTGGTAGGCTGTTGAAAAACAAGCGTGTGGGACTTCATTTTTTCCTCAGTATGCAATACAGTGAATTAAAGAACATACATATGAAGTGGTTACAATTTGTTACTGATCTATTCTTTTATGCAGAGAGTCAGCCTGTGATGGGTCGTGACTATGAAAAGCTGTGTCAACCGTCCGATCAGAACATCGACGGTCATCATCGACGATTCGAGTCCATTTGAATTGCACAGGGGTGCGCACCCCGCTCGACCAACATCTTCCACGATTTTGCCGCGAGCTTATACCAGGGCGGGACTCTCGATGTGGTGTCCTCTCCCTGGCCGTACAATAAGGGCGTGTTCCTACGCCTCATATTAGGAAACCTCATATCAGACTAGCCTGGTAAAACTAGAGAGGGATTTTGGGTTTAGGAGAATTTTCAGTGTGAGCATGATATGAGGTTAGCTTGACACGAGGCGTAGGAACACGCCCTAAAAGGACATTTCAATGCCAACGCATCAAATCTAAGAAAGTCTTTTTGAAGCTCCAGTATACATTTGTCAGTGAGGTTCAGGGTTTTACATTGTGCCTCATAGTTTTGGGGCAACTTTTCAAGTTCCTATGGATTTTGAGCCCCTACTTTCAAATGTATACCGGAGCTATGCTATGGCAGAGAGCACAAGTAAGCAACCTCGCCTGTGTTCAGCAGACAAGCTTGACAACGGCGCTAACGTCATTGGAGGGAGAGTGTAGCAGATGTACGGTAAAAGCCGCGGCGGGGATGTTGCGAGATCGCAGGCCACGAGTCTCATGGTGGCAAGTGAGCCTTCACACGGCATAGAAGGCAGCTGGATGGTGTCAGGTCCGGACACCTCGGCAACGCCCTGCTTTGTTCCTCCTTTTTTTTTTCAATAGTCCGACCGTTATCACCAAACCATCACAACCATCCATGGCGGGCCCGCCATACACCGCCATAGTACACCTTCAAAACCATGGGACGGTGACTCGAGCGAGCCCAGACCAAATCCGGCAATGGCTGAGCGGGGCCCGCTCGATCGACGCCTTCCTCGCTTCCGCCGCGGGAAGTTTGCCAAACGGGGATGGCGCGTCCTTTTCCGTAGATAAAACAGACATGACTCCGCCCATTAGCATCAGAAAGAACCTTCAGCAAACGCCAGCGCAGTACTAGCAACCTCGCTTGCATTCAGAAATCCGAATTTGACTACCGACGCCTCCTCTACTCTCGTGGAAACATGTCTCGGCTAAGGGTACGTTCTTGGCTGGTGTCTAGCTTCGGGCCAAGTTTGCCTGGTGTTAGACCCCTCCAGGAACGTCTGACACAAATCGAAAAATTTCCCTCATGCCCGTCAATTTCACCTCGTGTCAAGCAGCTTGGCCCGAAGCTATACACTAGCCAAGAACGTACCCTAACACTGGTCGCGCTACTGCTTCTCCTGGCATGTACGAACTCGAACCTTATCGTAGCATAAGACATGCCCATCACTCAATCATTGAGGGTCCACATGATACTCGACCCCCAACAACAAGTACTAGCTTTTAACATGCGTACACTATTCTGCACCGACTCCTCCTGTGTAGGCCTTAGGGCTTTGTGATTGGTCAGATTAAGTCTATACATTCTTGTCTGAGTCTATGTCAAACCTAACATTCGGGTGTTTCTTACGGTATTGTTGCTCTGTGCTATGCTGTGCTGTTCAGTGCTGTGATGTGCTGTGCTGTACGGTGCTGAGCGGTGGTGTTGCGTGCTGTCGCCTGCATTACTGTGCAGGGTGCTCGTTGGACCTGCAGGGAACAACCCGTCCTTGTGAGAGTACGACGGCTTATACTGGCTTTGCTAGCTTGCCTGGAGTTTATTATGCTATATCTAGCTTGGGTTTATTTTATCATGCATAGATATGCTTGATTTCCTAGGTTAGGTGCATTCCTACATATTATTATAGTTATAGCACCGAACCAGGTTACGTGTACCGAACTCAAGCCTATCCGGTTTCCACCAAATTGCTTTCTACTGAGTTCGGAAAGGTTCTGTTCGGGACGCTTAGCGACCCTCAGAACATTCGCGTAACACCTGGGTAACTGGCCTTGTGTCGAGACTATATATAGCCTCGTGTTGTAACCAGGTGGATCATTGAATTCAAACTCTCTTTTCTGAGCTCGATCCTAGATCCTCACACTTGGTAATTAGAGCCGTTTACACGCGAATTTTTTTCGACCGCTAAAACCGAGTCTTCAAAAACCGCGGGGGCGGCGACTGTTAAACACCGATTTCGGGTACGTAAAATCGGTTCCGTGTTTTTTACTCCCCATCGATTTCGGTTTTCGAACGCGCAATGTCAGGCATGGAGGGTCAAGGCGACAACTACGCGACGACGAGTGACATCGCCAGCCTTCGCACCGACATGGAACAGACGCAGGCAACGATTCGGCGACTCGAGGCCCTTCTGAAAAACCAATCCGCGGCCGCCACTGCAGCAGTCAATGCAGCAGCGAACGTAGCAGCGACAGCAGCAGCTGCGGCAGCGACACCGACATTTCACGGACCGATGGCACCACCTTCGCCGAACCTCGAAGCAGCTCGCCCGAGGCTCCCTGAAGCGTTCGATCCCAGCGCGAAAGGATCTGACGTTCGACGATTCGTGGCGACCCTCGAAATTTACTTCAAGGCCATTGGCTGTTCGACCCCGACACACGACGTAGCACGAATTCGGCTCGCAGCGACACTGTTGCGGGGACCAGCACTAGAGTGGATTTATTACACTGACGTGGCCCGCGGGGAGAAAACGTGGGTGCAGTTTCGGGCAGACCTCATCGAACGTTTCGAGCCAATTAATACAACCTACATGGCGCGGCAGCAGATACAACGACACAAGCAATACGGGAGTGTAGCACAGTACACGCAGCAGATGGAGCAACTGTTCAACTGCACCACTGACCTGACCGAGGGCGAAAAAATCCAGGCGTACACAGAAGGGTTGAAATTGGAGATTCGCCGACAAGTCATCGCAGCGAACTATAATAATTACCGCGACATCGTGCGTGCTGCCGAACGATACGACGCTTTGACTCGTGGTCAACCCGAAACACGACGTTATGAGCCGAACCGTACATTCGGCACGGAGCGATCGGCACCCCCTACGTTCGCCGAACCGATGGATATCGACAAATTTGACGCGAAGCAGCAACCGACAAAATGCGATTTTTGCGGCGCAGAGCGGCATCAAATTTTGTCGTGCTTCAAATTGAAGAAGGCACTTGCGGCACTGCTGGGCGGCAACAGTGGAGCACCCCCGAAGTAAAAAAACGGGAATCGCCAGTAGCCGCGGATCGACCTGGCGATCGCGTAAAGATCCGAAAAGCAGAAAAAGGCGACGTGGCGACTTCGGAGCGGGTGAAAAAAGGAGAAAATGATGGCGCGAATATAAAACGTCACGACCGGCCGACATCAGGGGAAATCGCCGAGGCGAATGGAGGCTCCGTAAAAAAAGACTCTGCACCGACCGGGAAACTCCAGCCGAACACCCACGAAAGTAAGAATTCGTTAAAAGTATCCTATAAAGATACTCTAACGAAAAATATTGCTTCTCGTGGTTTTCAAGCCTTTGAAAAATTCAGGGGAGATTTAGAGGCCAAGAAAAAGCCTTTAGAGATTATTCAGGTACCTGAGAAGTTGGGCATGTTAACGGGAATGGAGTGTTGGCCCCACCCTCGCTTGGGCAACGCCAACGACTTGGTCGGATGTATGGGAGTAGCACCCGACCGTTCACAGTGGGAGAGCTGCTCGACATGCATCGTCGAGCTGCAGGGGACCGCTGTGGTGTTGCTGTCGACCAGGGAGCTCGACAGCTGCAACTGACTGGTCTGGGCGACGGGTGGGCCGTCGACCAGAAGGGGCAGTTCGACCGAGAGGCCTTCGTTGACCTGCAGCACGACCGGGAGGTCTCCGTCGACCTGCAGCTCGACTAGGGGGTCCCCGTCGACCTGCAGCTCGACCGGGAGCAGTCTGTCGACCTGCAGTTCGACCGGGAGGTCGACGGAGCAGTCCGTCGAACTAACAAGTGAGCAGCGGTCGACGAGGGGAGCTCGGCGACAACCGCTGACGGTTCTGGTCGACGGAAGGGGTCCGTCGACCAGGGGGTAGCTCAACGGGAGTTGTGGTCGACCAGAGACACCTGGTGGTCGACCAAAGGAACCTGGTGGTCGACCGGGTCGACAGGGTAACCTGCTCGACGAGTTCTGTGGAGGCACGCGAACGTCGTTGATGTTGCGATG